CACCATGTATTCCATCATAGAGTCCTCAACATCAGAAGCCAAAACGAATTGAAGTTTACTTCCTGTCAGTGGGCCAAGTAAGTCCGCTGACAAAAGGTAGTGTCTATCCAACTATCGTCATCAAATTACATAATTACAGTTTTTGATACAGGATAAACCTAACATAGTAAACAGCATGAGGTATAACTTAATTTTGAAGAACAAAAACTTACCTCTCGTGGGCTGGTACATATCTTCTCATGAATTATAGGATGAATATATGCCACGATGTGGAACTTATCTCTTTCACTTCCTTAGATGTTATTGAATCTCTTGGTAGTGTCTTAACCAACAAATATTACTCTGAAAGCATGCCGAGAAATCGGTACTGTGGTGGGCTGGTGTCAATGAACACAATGATGAAATTCAAAATCTCACACGACAGCGCACTATTCAAACCTTCCATCTTGACCCCATAAAATGGCATCTCAATGTTCAACCATATTCTAGTCCCTGCAAACATATTTAGAGGCTTCTTAATCAGAATTAAAACAAACGATGACAGTACAAAAGTAGCAATAACCGATAATAGAAGAAGAAAATAAGTGAATAAGTGAAGTGGTTTGAATGAGAAAATTTCCATTGGAGATATTACTCCAGTATGTGGAACTTTGTGAAGGAGCACATCTCTTCGTAACAATGAGTAAGAGTTGTTGGTTCGTTTAAGGCTGTTTGCTAAGCGCGGGTTTTTATTGGGGTATTTAATTTAAATAGGTCTATAATTAAAAATGATATTTTGGTAATTTAACATTTGATTTAAGGCCTTTCCACTTTTAATATAGTATAGATGATGAAGATTTGTGGTGAAATTCAACCATAGAAAGTAATGACTCGTTTTAATAAGTCACTTATACCTCTCCTTATTTTTCATTTAAAATGACATGTTATACTTCAATTCTTCGTAGAGAGTCTTCACAAAATTCTAGCTGATACCTCTCAGAAAAGTTCAGATGTGGAATAGAATAGACAATTCATTGGTTGGTTAAAAGTAAAGATGAGTGCTAGTTAAGCATTATTTTTTTTTTCAAACCAAGTAAGTAAATAGTGTCGGCTAAACTATGTACTTGATCTTGATAGATTTTTGGATTTTGTACAAATGTGATGATAGTAGCATATTTGGTGTCATTGTTGCATGTTCCTATGCAATATGTGACGAGTTTCAATGGCTACATTATTAATAGATATAGTTTTCACGTTCAAGAATATGATAAAAGTTTGATAACTGAGAATTTTGAGGTGGTTGTAGTTGGTGAGACTGATGAAAAGACTAAAATATTGATTACTGTAAGACATGGCCTAAATTTGTTCATGGCTAATCTTGGAGCCAAAGTATTTAAACTTGGAGCCAAAGCATTCTAGCTTGGAACCAAAGAATAAAAGTATTTACTTTTCTTCTTTTTTCTTTACTAGGGGACCAAGAACTTTGCCCTATAAATATAAGTCATATTAATTCATTTGAATCATCCCATATTTTGATTAAAAACTCATTTTGTGTATTCTTGTGATAGAGAGTTATGTTATATTCCCTAGAGTCGGTGTTGTGAAACACTTTGAGTGAACCTCTTCTTTGTGAGTGATTGTAGCAAAGTTATTCTCTTGGGATATATTTTTGGGATAATTAGAGTTTCATCTCTAATTTTGTACTCTCTTTTGTGTACCGTGTTGTTATAGTGAAGTTGCTCCTTGTCCGAACCACGTTAAATTTGTGCCTTCCTTATATGCTTTAATTGTTGTTATTATCAACTTGCATTGCTTTGTTATTATCATTATAACATTGTTTGGCTAAATTCTGTACTACTCGGATTCTCGATCCTAACAAATTGGTATTAAAGCCGGATCTAACCGGGTTAGTTTCAATAGTCAATATGACTCTAACAAAGACTTATGTTGTGAAATTTAACCGAAATGCGAACTTTAGAATGTGGCAATTAAAGATGGAAGCTATCCTAGTTCAGGATGGCTTAAATTTGGCATTGCAAGAAAAGGAGAAGAAGCCGGATAAAATGATGGACGAGGAATTTTCCGTCATAGAAAAAAAGGCAAAATTAGGTATCATCTTAAATCTCTCAAATGAGGTTTTACGTGAAGTTTCTATAGAAACCACATCCAAAGTCATGTGGGAAAAATTAAAAACCTTTTATATGAAGAGGACGATGGAAAATAGACTTTACCTAAAGCAGAAGCTTTATACAATTCGTATGGGTGAAGATACCTCTATTCTCTCTCATCTTGACACCTTTGGTTCCATTCTTATGGATTTGTGTAATATAGACGCAGAAATTACAGATGAGCATCAAGCCGTGTTACTTCTTTGTTCTCTACCCCCATATTTTAAGCATATAAGAGATACTATGCTTTATGCTAAGGATATTAAATCTATCTTAAAATCAAAAGAACAGATAGATAGTGATGTCACTGGGGAAGCTAGTAGAACTCAAGCGGATGTTGGCTTGTTTGTTAGGGGTAAATCTGACTCAACATCCAGATACAATAATTTAGAGTGTCGTTATTGTCATAAGAAAGTCACATTATCTCCGAATGCTATAAGCTGAAAAATAAAGAAAAGCATAAGGAAAGGAAAAATGAGCACAAAGATATTTACACCGCCGAAGCTAGTGTAGCAAATGATGAGATTGAGGGAACTATATTTTTAGCAACTGAAACTAGTTTCAGATCAGACAATGAGTGGATTTTGGATTCCGGTTGTTCGTATCATATGTGTCCCAACAGGGACTTGTTTTCTACATATGATTCAGTTGAAGGTGGAGTTGTCCAATTGGATAACGATGCTACTTGTAACATTATTAACAAAGGTACAATTCAGATCAGAATGCACGATGGTGTGGTGAGAACTCTCAGCAATGTTACATATGTTCTTGAGTTGAAGAAAAATCTCATCTCTTTGGGTACTTTAGAATCTCTTGGGTGCAAATTCACTGGTGAAGGTGGAGTTCTGAAAAATTTTCAAGGTGCTCTTGTGATCATGAAAGCATACATATGTGATTCGTTGTATACTTTATTGGGATCTACTGTTATAGGCACTACTACAGTTTCGGTATCAGACAACTTGTCTGATTCTGGTGGCATTAAATTTTGACATAAGCCCATTGGAGCTTTTTTGGAGGTGGAGTAAAATAACTATATCATCCAATTTAGGCCAAGGTGGAGATTGTAAGACATGGCCTAAATTTGTTCGTGGCTAATCTTGGAGCCAAAGTATTCAAACTTGGAGCCAAAGAATAAAAGTATTTTCTTTTATTCTTTTTCCTTTACTTGGGGACCACGAACTTTGCCCTGTAGGGTCACCTTACTTCATTTGAATCATCCCATATTTTTATAAGAAACTCATTTTGAGTATTCTTGTGATAGAGAATTTTGTTATATTCCATAGAGTTAGTGTTGGGAACACTTTGAGTGAACCTGTTCTTTGTGAGTGATTGTAGCGAGGTTATTCTCTTGGGATATATTTTGGGATAATTAGAGTTTCATCTCTAATTTTGTACTCTCTTTTGTGTACCGGTTGTTATAGTAAAATTGCTCCTCTCCGCTTGTGGACTTAGGTCACCGTGACCGAACCACATTAAATTTGTGCCTTCTTTATATGCTTTAATTGTCATTATTATCAACTTGTATTGTCTTTGTCATTATTATTATCACATTGTTTGGATAAATTATGCACTACCCGGATTCTCGATCCTAACAGTTACTATGGATAATTAACTTTAACTGAGATTTTTGAATTACGATTTCTTGGGAGCAGAAGAATGATTTTGTTTCAATGTGTATAGTTTGATGTGTTTGACCGAAAAAGGGGTGTTAAAATAGATGAATATGGCTTTGTAACTGTTAATCGCTTTCTTGAGATGTTTGAAGGAAGAAGTAGTTCTATCCAGCAAATTAAGATGAACTGCCTTTTTAATTTCGTTTTTTGTGGAAAGAAGAACTCTTACACGGTGCAGCTTCCCCCTTAGACATTATTGTATCCTTGTAAGAAGAACAAGGATGTAAACTTCCGCTTGTTTTGAACTTGTAGATATGGCTTCCAGCATAGCCTTTATGCTGAAGATTTGTAATACTGTTACCTTTCTTAAAAAAAGCCTTTTGTATTAGTATATAAGTATTTTATATTAACAATCCTTCCAATTGAGTCTGGCATGTTGTACAAAAGGTTCAACCTCGTGATCTGTTGACGTTGTGTAGAAAACGGATTATGATTTAGAGGAGTTAGATAATTCTTCGCAAATGAAAAGAAAAAGAACTCATGAAGGTTTGGAGCTTTGTCACACCTGCCTTTAATTTGTCAAACCCTTTACGATAATGAAAGTTCCATACTGGACTCCATCTGATTAGCAAGTTGTTGTAGGAAAGGGCATGTTGTCAAAAGCGAAAAGAGCAGAATAGCAATAAGGTTCATGGAGCTTGAAGCGAAAAGAGAGAAGTGAAGCACACGAAGTGAAGCCAAATTTTAAGGGAAACTAAAAGTATCAATCAATGAATTTATTATATTGCAATTAAAATAACTAAGTTTAGCATCCGATATAAAATAATGCCGACACTAATCCAACTCCTCAAAGTTGAGATTAGATAACGCGACCGATTCTCCTTGGCACTTTCTGCTCCATTGTTTGAAGCGCAAACTTCTCTAAAGCGCATGGCTTCACCTATGAAGCGATAACCGCTTGCTTTTGTATCACTTCAATGCTTTAAACGACGAATCAATGGCTTTTAATAACACCGGGAAAGGGAAAGGTTTCTTTTAAATATTCCTTTTCAACTTCAACTTGAAATATTCTTTTTTCAACTTCAACAAAATATTTTCCAAATGTCTACTAAAACCCCATCAGTGGATTGCTACTTGATAAGTGGAGATTTTAGCGACTTGTCACTGTCTTTTGCTCTTGTTTTTGAGTCCAAAACTAACCATTTGATACCATATTTTATTGGAATTTGTCTGATTTCAGGTAGTGAAGCAGCTCAGTTGAAGAGAAGATGAAAAGGTCAAGAATGGAGCTAAAAAGTAGTACAGATCTTTCCATTTTCGAAGTCGATATATTTGCCAGGTTACCCACCTAAACCGGAAGTCTGTGAAAAGTGACCCATTGCGTGTGCAATGGACTGAGTGCGGGCAGCAATCAGAGTGCAAGAACAAATGAAACACTATCCCTGAAGCAAGACCAAGTGTGGACTGCAATGGAATTGTTTGGCCGCAGTGGTAGCCGCAATATACTCCGCGCTGCTGCAGCTTGGAAGGATCAGAGAATTGTCAATTATTGAAGTGTTGGAAGACAGGGAAGTGTGGCCGCAACACCTGAAGTGCGGACCGCAATCTCTGAAGAGCAGCCTCAATGCACACTTGCAATTGAAAACCACTTAAGACAGCCAGATGCAGTGTGGACTGCAATGCTCAAGTGCGGCCACACTACATCGGCATTTCCGGCACTGATTTCCAGGACACTATAAATAGTATTTTTAGGTCTTTTTAGGGTATGTTTTGTCTTGGGGCTTGGAATGAAGCAGCCTTTGTGTATTTGGGGGTATTTTCTAGGAAGATCATCATTAACAATATATTTTGCAATTAGTAGTTTAATTATATTTAGTTCTTCTATATTTTGTGTTTTTATCTCTTTAGTTATAAGTAGCTAGACTTATACCTAGGGTTGTATTTCAACCCTAGTATGTAAAACTTTATCGGTTTTTAATATTGATCTTGTTTATGAGTGGATTACTTATTATGTAGCTATTTTTATGCTTATTAGTGGTTGCAAATAATGATTCATGACCTTTTGATTTGGTTCTTGCTTGAAAAAGAGGAGTTAGGTTCAGGTAACTTGAATAACAAGGAATTAGACTAATTGAGAGTTTGATCGGGCCTAGTTAATGAGAGTGAACTAGAGATAGGAATATCTTGACTTGGACACCACGACGCCTAATCTTAATGCAATCCTATTGACTTGAGAGAGCAATTTGGGTTAGACTACTTGGCAATTGAGAAACATCAAGTGGGTAAATTAGAGTGTGTGCCATAATAATCCCAATCACTTAAGCAAGATTGATAGATATACCTATTTAATTGAACCCATGGTAAAGAATACCACCCTAGGCTTTTTCTCTAATACGTACAACCATAGCTTAAATGGAGTACACATTAGGTGTTTGATACTTTGTCTCTTACATAACTCTTAGCATAATCATTAGATTTAATTGCTCCAAACATTGTTGAAAGCTAAATTAGGATATATTGAGTCTCTCACTTAGGTATTTACCTTAACGGCTTAACATCAGTTCAAACTCCTTGTGGTTTGACCCCGACTCTTTATTGGGTAATTATATTGCGACGACCGTATCATCTCTTATTGAGGTGTGTTGTGGATGTCATCAGTTCTTAACTGATTACATGTTCATAAATGATGAAATTGACGTGCTAAGTACCTGTTATCTCTCTATTTTTATGTGTCTTTCATGTTTCTGTCAATCATCTTCTATCCTGTTGTCTTGCCTGCCAACCTCTTAGTTTCCTTTCAAGACCTTCACATAGAGATGATTCATCTGAAGAAGGATCTTCCAAGATCGAAGCTCATTTAAATTTAGAACTTGTTTACATATTGTATCTTCCAAGTTCCAAGTTCATTTCGTGGTAATATGTTTAGGTCGTAGTCAGAGGCGGATCCAGAATTTAAATTCTATGGGTTCAATTTTAAGGTTTTTAACATTGAACCCATTATATTTTTAAAGTTATGGGTTCATATCTACTATTTTTGCAATTTTAATGAATTTTTACATACAAATTTTTACTCTACCTCGAAAGTAAACTGAACCCATAAGTTGCTCTCATGTCTCAGAATTAGTCAAAGTGATAGTTGGCATCCTCTTTTCTTATTGAAAACTTGCTGAACTCTCTTATTGGTCGAGCTTAAAAATACTCTGCTCTTTTTATTTTTTGGTTATTAGGTTGAAATGAATCCTTCAAATTCCGGCAGTCTGAAATGAGATCAACTTTGAAGACTATTAAACATGCGTACATTGCACCTGGTGCTTTAGCAAGGGGACGTGAGGCAAAGCTTCAGAGCTTTAGGCTCCTTAAAGTAAGTGTTGAACAAAGAACTCCACTTGGCAAAGGTAAAAATTGTAATGCACTAGTTTCTACTCAGAATGAGCTAGCACAGTGTAATAGCCTTGTGCCTCCTGGTTTTGAACCAATTGAAGATGATGTTCCCCTCCTTCAAGAAGCTGAAGCGATGCAAGACACTCAGAGAAGTGAAATAAGTATTTTGTTGTCTCGGAGTTGTAAATTTTTTTTGATGTTAGTGGACTAGAACTATTTTTATGTTTGACTATAATCAAAATTTTGCAGGTTCATGTGAATCTGAAAAGGCAAAAACGATGAGAGGAAAGACCAGGTATAAAAATGTCTCAGCACTAAAAGCTGGAGAAAAGTTGAGAGTTACTTTTTACCATAATGGAGTTGTTGGGAAGCATCATGCCACATTTGCAAGAGACTTAGGTATGTTAGTTCGTGATCCTAATATGTGCCCGCTGCGAGTACACCCATGGGCGGACACCGAAGAAGATAAGCTGAAATGCATGTGGCTAGCTGTTACTGTAAGGATTTAAAGCATTACTTGATTTGTTTTTCGAGCTTGGTGCATGTCAACTAACTTGTATGTGATATATTTGCCTGCCACTACATTAAGCTTGATGTATTTGTGCAACACTCCATTATTTTGAAACTTTTTTGGTTTTGATTTTTTGTTTTTGTTGCTGGATGATTCTTGGTTATTTGCTCTTTTCTGGATTCGTGATGTTTGGTTCATTTCTGGTGTCCCAAATACGTTTGACATGCATTAAATCCACAAAGTTGAGAACAAGTAATGACATTCTTTTCCTCTTGTCAAAAGAGGTCAATGAAACTGATTATGAAAAGGCTGCAACAGTATGAACAGGCCTCGGGTCAGGAAATTAGCAAGGACAAAAGTTTCTTTCTCACCCCTACTCACACCTCTCAATCTATAAGGGACAGAATTCAGAGAGTGACGGCTTACAAGCACCATCACTTCCCTTTCAAATATCTTGGTTGTCCTATATATTGTGGAAGGAAGAAGATTAGTTTCTTTGCAGATATGGCTACTAGACTTCTGCACAAAATTCAGGGATGGCAGGGTAGGCTATTATCTGTAGGAGGAAGGGATACACTGATTAAACATGTATTACAATCCCAGTCTTTGTATATAATGGCTGCAGTTTCTCCTCCAAAAGCTATTCTAAAACAATTGGAGAAGCAATTTGCAGATTTCTTTTGGGGGGTATAATGACTCCAAAAAAAAGTACCATCTGTGTTTCTCAACTGCAGAGGGAGGTGCTGGTTTCAGAAGTTTGGAGGATATAGCCAAGACCTTTACTGCTAAAAGGCGGTGGAGGTTGAGAAATTACGATAATCTATGGTCCAAAATTCACGATCAATAAATATTGCCCAAGAAGTCATCCAGTAACCAACGAAAAAACAATTTGCTGATTCTAGTTGTTGGAGGGAGCTGATGGAGATTAGAAACAAGATGGAGCCGCATATCTTGTGGAGAGTCCAACAAGGATACCTCTCCTTTTGGTGGGACAATTGGAGTGGCATGGGTCAATTAGCACAATTGCTACATATTCAAAACCCTGACAATCTTTTGGTGGAAGATTGCATTAGAGAAGGAGCATGGAATATTGATTTGCTTGAGTTATTGGTTCCTACCAATATGGTTCAGCACATCAGAGAAATCAAAATTGGAAAAACTCAAGGAAAGGATAAAGCAATATGGAGATTGTCTGCTGATGGTCTTTTCTCTTGCTCAACTGTCTATGATCTTTTAAGACAAAGAGGCAGACAACAGCAAATATGGAAGGACACTTGGATTAAGCACATCCCTTTCAAAATCTCATACTCAATGTGTAGGATCTGGAAGAAAAAAATTCCAGTTGATGAAATTATCCTCAAATTTGGGCAATGTCTGGTTTCTAAGTGTTCTTGCTTCAGACAGCCACATGAAGAGACTATTGAACATGTTTTCAATACTAGTCCTAAAGCTAGTCCTCTCACTTTGTAACCTCACTGGTGAAATTCCAACTTTTATCGGAAACTTGTCCTCCCTGAGAAGTTTAAGGCTCAGTTTCAGAGCTCTGACAGGAAGCATTCCAGCTGAAATAGGAAGGTTATCAGAACTGAAGCAACTTTCACTGAATTCCAATTTCTTTCAAGGTCAGTTACCAAATGAGGAAGTTGGTCAGAATGCAGCAGCTTGAGCTCTCTTATAACCATTTCTGGACACTAATCTGATGTCGATTTCAGCTCAATTCTAACTGGCATATTAATTTGAATACTTTCGAGCTGCCTCTGCTTTTGCAGAAGAGAACCAGGAAAATCCTGGCCTGGTGATGCACTACTTGTGTTTGATATAGTTGGTTAAATTTTATTTTTCTAGATTATCTGAAACTTTTGAGTGTCATGTTTAATGATACTTGTGAAATATTTGAGGATAAATTTGACAGTGATGACATGAATGATCAAAGAAACATATGAGAAAGTTATGGAACAATTGGAGGGCATTGCTGCACATGAACATGAAATCTAAGCCATTGCACGAGGCTCTAAAAGATGTGCCGGAGAGGGTAGGCAAGAGTGATTGGGAATGGTTGGTCAAGGAGCATTTTGAAAAAATGAAAATTTTAAGGTATGGCTTCATAACTACTAACTGCTAGTTAGTTTAAGTAGCAAATCATAATTTCAATTTTGTGTTGTTAATATAGGAAGCAGGTACAATTAATTCAGTCAATAGGTCTAAGTCGAGTATGTCTCACTAGTAAGCCTATTAGAGAGTCTATTTGTGAATTGGTAAGTAAATCTTACAATACTATGAGGAAGCCTTCCATTATTTTAGAAAATTTGTTTGACTTGTTTATTTGAAGGTGAAGGGAGGCAAAGATGGTTATCCACCAGACATGGCAGCTATTTTCTTTGAGACTCGTAAAAAAGATAACAAGTTTGTCGAACCTGAAACAATGAAAAATATATATGTTTATTGATAAATTTCACCTACATCCTTTTATTTAATTGATTACATTATTCTAAATATTCCTGTATTTTATAGGCTGGAATCCAAAAACTGATAAAATCGGAGCCGCCTCGCAGTGAAAAGGAGCTCCTCAATGTAAGAGACATGCGGTTGGATTAGGAGGTGGGATAACCGCTGAGGTGTTTAAAGGGGGTACTCCTCAAAGAAAACGAATCACTAAAAAGACGCATGGATGACAGAGAGTAAATATGAACGGCTTGCAGGTGCACTGTTTCATCGATGTCGTCTTCAAGTGAACCAAATACATGCATTTAACAGGTTCGTAAGCTTTCTACCAGTCCTTTACAATTACCACATGCAGCTAACCTTTATGTCTAACCAGACATTAAAAAATTACTTAGACTTTTATTTAGAAAACATTTTCAATGGAAATATCAAATATTTGCTAGCTAGTGAATATAATCAGACCTTAGTTATTTGTCGTCTGCGAGAAGTGGATAAACATATGTAAAGCATTATAAAAAGGTATATTGAAGAGCCATCTTATTCAAATAAAATAAAAAATTAATTGGTTAACTAATACTTACAAAAGAGTAGTGTAGCTCTACTGAGACATTAAAAGAAATCATTCCACATATGATCCTGCTCCCTTCAACGGTTGATCACTAAAGAATAATTTAACTGGAATTAGAGGCGCACTCAAACTGATGTTGCACGCTTAATGTTTTCCCTAATTGTTGATGTAATGCATTAACCTGTGAAGGCCCCTATATGTGTGATAGCGTATGGACTAATGATTAATAATGGTAATCACCAGAAAAATTAGTATAAATCTTTATCTAATCATATTTATAAAATTTTCAGAAATTTGGCTGTTCAAAGTATTGTTATTGAAAGTAAAATACCACAACAATATGAATTTTGGTCCTAAAAGCACTTATAACATCTAATTTATTGTCGTTATTGAAGTTTTCGGAAAATTGGTCGCTACAAGGAGGTACAAAGACTGGATTGGCATTATTGAAGTTTTTAACGGCACAAAAGACAATTAGGAAAAATTCGGTCGCTGAAGGGAGGTATAAAGATTGATTTCTTGCCGTCGTTGAAGGTTTTTCAATTACCTGATTGAAATCCAATCATGTACTTTTTAACGACGGAATTTTTAGCGAGCGGAAGGATCAAACTGTTTTGGCTCATAAATGACTAATAATGATAATAGGACTTTTAGCGACTGAATTTTTCCTCGTTGAAGGCCTTTTTTCTTATACTGATGTATAAAATTGCTCCCTTGAATATGTTTTCACAGCTCGTCAAACTGTTATAATTGTAACATTTCTCAAATCTATAAGAGTTTCAAGACACGCTCAATATAGAATTTAATTTTTTAAAACTTGCCTTGAGTGCAAAAAAAATTATACTTCTATTACGGATTTAAACCCTTATCATTGACTTTTGAGTTACTTCTCTATTTATAAATAATGTGATATAGAAGCAGGGGAATATTAATAATTTTAATATTACTAATTATTAAAAGTGAGTATTATTAAATATTAGTTTTAAAAAAAACGAAGGGTGGGGGGGGGGGGGGGGGTAAGGGTGGGGAGGGACACAAGCCTAAAGCCCATAAAGTGCGCAGTTAGAAAGCAAAGGGCTTAAAGCCTTAAACAAAACATAACTAGCATTCTGATTACTGTCATTGGCGGCTTTCCAGCCATGCCCCATGACCCCTTGGGCGCGCCCCGTGGCGTCCTAGCGAACCTCCCAATGCCTAGCGCCACGGACGGCCCCGTGGTCTTGGCCGCGCCAAGTGACAAGCGCGCAGGTGCCTCTGTCGCCCCACCGATATCCCTCGCGAGCGCCATGCCGCAGGCAGAAGCCAACAGCGCCGCGCGCGCAGACCGTGATGCCAAAGACACTGCTGCTGACAACGGGCCTGCTGCTGCCTTATAGAAAACTAAGTCATTTTCATTGTAACTATAGAGTAGTTTATTTCATGCACTTCCATTATGTTTCTCTAGCTTAATTAGGTCTACTCCTGTAACTTTGGTTTATTTTTTTTAAGTACTATTAGGGGGGATCAAGCAATCAAAACTTTCTAGCAAGCAAGCAATTCTCTGTACTGGTGTCTCTCCCCCTCGACACCGCGTTGCTTTTCTGTAATAGCTTTCATTAATGCAATCAAGCTTTCTTTCATTCTGAATTCTCATTTCTGTTCTCTCAATTGCTCTTGACATTGGTTTTCCCGTACGGCACTGACAATCTCGTCTAGCGTACGGAGGGGACCTCAGTTGGCGGACAGCAACTGGACTGACATCAGTTGCCTAGCCGTACGTCGCCCTTTCAAGGAATCTCAGGAAGGCGCCGCGTATCATTACTCATGCTAGCAGAGGCAAAAGGCTTAAAGCCTTATACGAAACAGAGGTAGCCACGAAACAGAGGCAATCTTACTGCTTACTCAAGCAGGCAACGAAAAGTTTCAGATTTTTTTACAAATCACTAGTTCTTGAACTTAGGTATATAAAATTTCCTTATTGTCAATTATCTTACAGTACTAGTAGGTAAGAATTGAATAGTTAATTCTCTTCTTTCTCCATATCAACAGTAAGTTTTATGTTTAGGTGTGAAACTTTAAAATTAATTAAAATGCACTGATTGTTGTAGAATCGATTGTTTAACAGGTATAAATTGGATTGGGGCCTACGTATTGGCTCGAGGAATTTTGAGGTGAGTTGATATAACCCTTTACTAAAGTGGTTTAAACACTCACAAAAGCACGCATACAAGGTGTTTGATGAATTGAATGGATTTAGACTTGAATGGTCAAGAAAGTTGAGAAGTTGATTTAGATCCTAGCGAGGTCACACAAAATAATTTATTATTAAAGTATTTTTGGGAGTACCCTATATCGGAAATGCCCTACCACTATGGCTCCCCCTTTTCTTTCATACGCTCGTCCTTCAGAAATACAGGGGAAAGATCGAGATAAAGGTTCTTATAGAGGTGAAGGCACCCATCTCACATAAAATAGTTAGAAAGCTCGCGCTCCATGACCAGAAGAATTGTGTGAAATAAGTGAATTTATCCAGTTGAGAGCTTCGGCAACAGGATCCAGACCCCTTCCGAGAAGCTAGAAAAGCATCTGATGGTAAAGTGGAAGCGATCCCCTCCACCCCTTTTTTCATTACTAATGGAATATCCTTCACTATTTTACTAAAAATGGAACGTTCGAAATATGCCTCTCTAGGAGCATTACGATCTGCAGCCCGAGTTTCTCGGCCTGGTATCCTGCACCTCGCGTTCATGATATCTACATTCAACTGTGCCCCGGAGGGGTCATTGTCCAGGCCGATGGCCCTCATCAAGGCATTGACTTACTGAAACTACTTGTGCCAAAGTAGGGAGCACACGAGCCGAAGGTCTCGTTGCTGAGGATTTGCCTAGCCAGGCTAAGGTATGATACATGAGCGCTGAGAACCATGATGCGAGTGGAACCTCGTGGATTGAGCCTATTCGATCTGGTTGGGATCGAACCCGTGTCGATCACACAGTGACTAAGACAGAAATAAGTCAGGATAGTTGGAAGTCCGAAGCATAAAGTGCAGTATTTTGTTTTAGATAAGAACGAAAAAGAAAATAATTTCTTATAGAATATTTGTATACTGCTGTTATGCAATTATTTTAGAATTGTTCTTAGAAACTTTATGTTTTTCATGCATTTAGAATCTTTGCTTGTAATGTATATTTCATTAAAGTTTTGTTCCCTATCGTTGAGACTCACTGAGTACAAAGGATGGTACTGATGTTCTCTTTTGGGAACCTGCGTTGATCTGCGGTACAACGTAGGAATCGGTTTGCAGGCGAGCAGGCTACATGTTAGGACTTCCCTCACTTTCGGTGCTATTGGTCAGTTTCGGTTTTGTTCGTGGAGTATTCCTTTGAGTCGTCATTGTTTAGCTATTTCTTTGTTTACTTGGAGAACTGGCTAGGAAATATCATGTCCTGAGTAGTGCATTAGTTTATCAGTAGAGGCTTTATATACACAGTTAGTAGGTTAAGATTCATGTGTTTTCTATAATAACTTTGCAGTATTTCAGTAGTTATTACGAATAAATTTTTAGAGTGGGTTTATTTTAGATATTCAAATTAATTAAAAGTATTTGATTGAAGTATTGATTTGTTGCATATAAAGTTTGAAGTTATAACAGTTTTGATAAGCGCAGATGGTTTGCTTGGTCAAATTTAGCGATCGGGTGCCGGTCACGGCTTGTTCAGAAAATGAGCCGTGAAAACTTGGTATCAGAGCCAGGTTTATGAATCCTAGGGGTCTATGAAGCCATGTCTGTAGAGTCTTATTTATGGGTATGAAGCGCGCCATACTTATAAATAGGAGTCTACAAGCATTTAAGGAAAGCCTCTTTTTTTCATACTTTAGATCGTGCAGTTGAGCCTACCTCTAAGAAATAATCTAATGTATTCGTTTATCCAAAACTCGCAGAAATGACTCATACTCGTAACTCTGACACCGGCACTCAAGATGCTGCTCAAGAAACTATTGCTACTATTATGGCTCAAGGTAGAACTAAGAAGGTTTCAACTCAGAAAAGGAAGGGTAAATCCACATAGGGGGTTCAAG